GTCTCCAGCCAGACCTCTCAGTAAAATGACTTGAACATCAGTTGTACAAGTAAAGTATTCTACCTTCACACACAAAGTTTAAAAAAAGACTATTGAACTAAAAACAGTCAACTGTTTACGTATAACGTTAAATTCAGGAGTTCAGTGTTTTACTAATATATCCTGTTTGAAACCTCTTGTTCAAAAACAAAATGTTTTGAGCAATCAACCAAAATTGTTCCTCTTCTTTTCCTGTAAATGTTCTAACAGATTTGCAGGGCTTGCGGCTCACTGTGCTAGTATGTTAAAAAAAAAAAAAAGGTGTTGTTTACACAAGGCAAAGAGAAAACATGATATTCAGACAGTTGCCAAATAGAATAATTATAGCACAAATACTGTAAAGGTGCCTGGCACCAGCAACCTGAGAAAGTGTTAAAGAAAAAGTGTTACAAGGTTTAAAAAAACATCTTTGCTAATTTTTAGTCCTGTTGAACATTCATGGAATTGTTAATATGACTTATATAGACCCACACAGGTTTTATTTTTGTGTCTTTAAAATAAAGTCCAAAATATTTAAATTTTATGGTCAAATATGCAGTCAACAGCTGCTACTTTTTTCTTTATATATTAAATTTCTCATATGTCTTTTATTGTTCTAATAAACCTAAGCTTGTGTGACCTCCAGTGCATATTAGACCATTCACTGTATGAAAGAAAACATGTTGAATAAATTTGTGAGTTTTTAATAAAAATAGAATATCTGATGTTTAGATAATTGGCATGATATTTGATGTTTTCAATCACTGGAGGGAAGATCTGGTGGGGTGCCAAATGGGCACACAGAAGCCAGGTGGAAGACAGTCAGGATTGGGGTGATATATCTGTTTTCACCTTGACGATGGCTGAACCCCTTTGCTAATGTCAGTCAAGCTTTTTCTCTGTGGCTTCCTGCTGCTATTAAATACAAATTTGCATTCTGTGGATTTAACCGATACAGTTGAAGAGACATTTGCTGATAAGTTAGTATAGAATTTGAAATAGAAATCAAATCCATGGCTAAAAAATGAGTGGTCCCTGTCTGTGATTAGGCATGAGATCCAAAGCATTCTCTCTTCTCACTGGCCTTGTGAATGTCAGACACTTGTAAATATATAGTTAGAGGTAGGGTTTTTTTTTCAGTTGCAATTCATTTTTCATAGATAATCCTGCTTTCTAATTTGGTGGTTTGAAAGATAACATAAAACGAATGTACAGTATAGTTAGAAATGAGATACCTTAATCCCTTTCACAGAATTGATATGAAATTATTAGAGTATTTGTTACATTTGACGTTCCCCAGAAGGAAAACTATTTTACCTGGCACAAAAATCATATTAAGTTTCTTTGAAAGATGAACAAAATACCTAACACAGAAATCAAATTTCAATTGGAAGTTACCAGTAGATTCAGAAAAGTAGTACAATCCCTTCCAAACCTTCATTAAAAATAGAAGGAATCTGAATATTTTATCTACTATGAAATACCCATACATGAGTGTATATGTGTGTTTTAATATCAGACACTTTTAGAGCTCCAGAATTTCTTTACCGTATCACCTAGATTTTAGTCTGGATTATTTATTTCCTTATTTTAAAAAAATCAAAATTTTTACATTAAATAGTATGTAATTTCCAGGGCTATTTTCATATTTTGTTAAGACACAACCAAGTTTATCTTTCTTGCAGAGAAGGTTTTAAGATAAGCAATATTTCACTGCATCCCTATGATAGCTTATCTAATGGGGGGGAGGACTATGAGAGAGGAATCTGGCAGTTCTTTCAGAAGTAAAATTTTATTAAATACGAGGGAGACTTTTGAAACTCCTAGCCTCTGCATACAGCACATTTTCTTTATCTACTTTATATGCAATCACTGGATCGGCATGTTTTTTGCCCTTTTAGTATTTATATACATTAAATCATTGCAAACTTATCATTATAGTCACCACCCTCTGTCCCCTCCCCCTTAAAGACATTCATTTGACTGAACTTATGCTCATCTGGAAACTGCATTTTCCTACCAAGACTGCTTGAATTATTTAGCAGCTTTATTGTGGCACTCAGGCATTTGATAAGAAGCATTTTAGAATTGGGCAGGTGGTGTGGATTCAATTCTTCTAACTCTGTGGCAGTGGCCAGTCTTTCTCTTCTGCATGGTGTTGTGAATCCTGGCAAAAACCCGAACAGGTGGCAATCTCAGCAGTCTAATTTGGAGCCCAAGATCCAGGAAGAAGCCAGAAATGGCAGAGACTGGTGGCACATTCTCTTCAATGCCGCACTGCCCACCTCTGCCGGTGAGGTGCAGGGAAGTACAACACCATCCCCACTCAGAGCACCCTGGAGAGATCCAAGGGCAGGAAGAAAGTTCTATTGTCATTCACTCTATCCCAGAAGGGCAGCTTCCTCTTGGCCAGACTGGGAGGCCTGGTTCCTTCCTTCAGTCATCTTAAAGCTGCTTCTCTCTGCCTCCTGCCACCTGCTCTCAGGGTCCAGTGGCACGAAGCAGCCATTTATACAGGCGAGGGAGCTGAAGCTCACCAAGCCACTTCTCCCAGTTGGCAGAGGCTCTGGAGACTGCTTTTGGTGCAAGACAAGGTGAGGCAGGAGTATGTGTAGAGATCATGGACAGACATTGCCAGAAGTCTGGGTCTTGAGGTTTGAGGATGTATGGGAAGAGAGATAGGTGGGAATCTGGTTTCCCTAAACTCTTGAAATTTGTCAAGTGAATAGACAGTTGTTTCAGACAATTAGGGGGAGGTGTGTACTGTCACCTCTGCCCAACTTCTGCTAGTCCTACATCTGCCTTCCACTTTGCAGCTTTTAGACAGCAGGCAGAGAGATGTGAACCTGGAGAGCCTTGTGTGTCCTCTCCAGAGGACAGACTGTTCTTTTAGAAGACTGCTCCAGAGAGCTCATCTCATCTATTTTAATGTAGATGCTGTGAGGTCCTAATTTCTTCTACAGAGGTATTTAGTCTTTGAAATAGCCTCTCCCGTTTCCATCCCCACTCACCCTAATCAGAAGGCTCTTCCCCACATCACAAGAAATTAGAATGCAATTAAGGGAAGAGCCCCCAGAAGGATCATTTGAGGGGTTTCACCCCTATTCAGTGCCTCAGCTTTTCTTGGTTGCATCTAAAGTCCTAGAATTCTTTCCTCTTTATGCCACTGCAGGAATCCTGTCCTACCCTTGATGTGGAGTAAGAAAGCAAGGAAGGCATTTTTGGGGCCCTGTGATGTGTGCGACAGGAGTAGAGTGCTCTTGATTCTTTCCTAAAAATGCTTCCCAAGTCAGTGGAGACCAGGACAGGGAAGGGAGAGTAGGTAAGCAGGTCTATGGCATTTTCTGTTGAGTGTTTGCCCAGCACAGCTCCAAATGGACCTGTAGTGAGTGTCCTATTTGCATGACAGGGTAGAGATGGTCTCTGCCCTGACTCACCTTCCTTTCCCTTTTGTCCTTCTTCCTTGCATTGAAGGGCAGGTTTCTAAGCACTATTAGTGCTCAAAATACCAAGGGAAGAGGACTGGCTGAGATAGTTTCCTAAATGTAGGGTGGGAGAAACATTTCTGTTCTTTGAAGCCCAGGACAATGGCACCTTGTAAAGGACTGAAGAGCACATTTTTTCTCTGGAGGCCCAGATGCAGGCACAGGATTGCAATTATAGAGGATAATTTTAAAAACAACCCTCCCCCAAACTGTTCTCATAGCCTGAGTTGTTTTTTTTTTTAACTGATGGTAAAATGAGATTTTCTTCACCTGAGTCCACTTCCTAGTTTTACATTCTTTTCCTTCCATGTCTGAGGGGATTTACCCTAAGACACGTTTTCTATATCCTCTGAAGCCACCTAGAACGGGGACATAGGACAAGCCACACTAAAATATTGTCTTATTGTTGGACTCTCAGGGCCTATGAAGATTGTGAAAGTAGGGACTCTCTCTTCCTTTGGGCTCCACAGGAGACACTGAGCTAGCGTTGCCAGATTGTTCAGCTCTGGGATCCAACTGGCATGGACTGTCCTTAAGAAGGGCACCACCACAGTGTATCACTACTATCTTTTGCTTCATTCTTTCAAGGCTATTTTTGTGTTTAGTGGGTTCTAGATCTCGCTATAGGACTTCCAATACATACTGACGGGATAGACCATTTTGTACTTAAACTTATTCCTTTTTGCAGTTTAAGTTTACATGTTTGTCAGTGTGTAGAGAGAATCTAACTTACAATTTTTGTATCTCATCTAGCAGTGCCTGCCACATAGTGGGCAGCCAGGGAATGCTCTATGAAGGAAAGAGAATGGAAAAGGATTGCATCTCTCTATGCCTGAGTGCAATTAAAATTATCCCCATCTTTATTTTTTTTCACTCTACTCCTCCAACGGTGGGCCTGAGTTTTTCTGCATTTGTGCACCAGTTTCAGGTTATCTGCGTTCGCCCTCATCAATACCGAGGAGCGTTCAGTAGTGTAATCCCCACTCCACCCCCTTTTCCTTGCTCAGGCAAAGCTACTTGGAAAAGCTGCAAAAAACGATCTTTATTTGTGCACAGCCATAGCGATTCCTAATTATTCATATTAATAAAGACACCAGCAGTTCGCCGCACACTTACACATGCACATCACTGACGTAGAATTCCCAAATTCTGGCCGCCGGAGGGGCCAAAGATATGTACCCGGCTCCAGACTCCTAAATTGTGAAAAGCCAAATGTGTTTTGGGTCCCAGTTTATGCATACCCAAGTCAAAAAGCTTACCCCTTTACTCCTTCCTCCTTCCCAAATCGGCCACCGTGGGCCACGGCTACCCTACATTTTATTCCAATACGAACTTCCCACAAACCTTGAGGCATATTTTGGGTAAAGGGGACACTGGCTGCGCGAAAAGCAATCATCCCTTAGCGCCAGGGGCAGTCACATGCCCTGGAGTGCCCCCGCACCACCCAACACGCCTTCCGAGGTACGCGCACGCGCACTCGCGTTCGGGAGGCCACAGTCCCTTAAGCGTTCGGCGCGCTTCCGTCTTTATCCTAGCAACGCCCATAGTAACGCGTAGGTCCCGCCCCCTTTGCGCGGGCCTCCCGGAAGTTACTGGTCCACTGCTGAGCGCCGAGCTCCCTGCTGTCCCTAGCTGTGTGGCGGAGTAGCGTCTGGGTGAGAGCACCCGGAAAGGGAGCTTCCGGCTGGGATTGGGGCCCGTACAGTAGGGTAGGCAGCGCGGACCTGGACCTGGTGACGATGGCGGAGCCGCAACCCTTGGCGCTGCAGCTGGAACAGTTGTTGAACCCGAGACCGCGGGAGGCGGATCCTGAGGCCGACCCCGAGGAGGGTGAGGCCTGACTGGGGCAGGCCACGTGCGAGCTGTGGGCCGGACCTAGGATGGGCGCGGGTGGTGTGTGAGGTTCGGGCAGCGGTGCTTCGCCGCCTGGCCTACTCGCCTTCCCCTCTGTTCCAGCAAAGGTTGCTTCCGGGCTTTGGCTTGTTTAGACTTGGTGGTGGGTGGAATTTACTTAGGACCGGGGCAAGGAGCAGGCTGAGTTGTTGAGAGGCTTTTGGAGGGAGCTAGGGTGGCAGCAGGTTGGAAGTTATCTTTCAGAATGACCTACCTCATTGGTATTGCTTTAGAAAGAGGGAGAAGGACGTCTCATCAGTTTTTATTTATTTGGGTTCTGACTCTTAAAAACTTGCTTGGAGAATGAAGGAAAAAGTAGGATTCCTTGGTTCTGTTTAAGTTTCTTTAGGTCTAAGGCTGCTTGCTCGGGGACTGATGGTAGACCTTTGTTCTGTAAGCTGATGTTCAAGGTCTAGCTGGAAGTAATCCTGCTTTAGATGTGAGTCAGAGAAGTGTGAGGAAGGGATAAAAGGAGGGATGTATGAGAGTGCTGAACCGTGTCTGAGAAATATCAGGTGAAGAATAGGGTTGTTTAGGCAGGGTAAGTAAAGAAAGCTCTCTGAGGGGTGGGACTGAGTGAAGGTAGAACTTGATGACTGATTTAAAATACTAGAGCGACTGTCACAAACTGAAAATTAGTTTTACACGACTCAAGGCATAGAAATATATCTACTAATAGATGCAGGGAGTCAGCTTTCTGTTCAGAAACAGCAATGAGACAGCCATTTACCTGGAGAACTAATGAGTCCCTTATTCCTGGAAGTTGGTAGAGATTTTGTATAGGACATTCAAGCATGAGTTGAAAGGGTTGAACAGGGTTGCTAGTAAAGTTCCTTTTAACCTGAGATTCTGTTTTCTTTCCCTCTTTCCCCACAGCCACTGCTGCTAGAGTGATTGACAGGTTTGATGAAGGGGAAGATGGGGAAAGTGATTTCCTGGTAGTGGGTAGCATTAGAAATCTGGCTTCAGCCTCCTTCCTGGACACAGACAAAAAGTATTCTGGCAAAACCACATCTAGAAAAGCTTGGAAGGAAGACCATTGGGACCAGATTCTGCCAGGTTCATCTGGTAAGACTTTTTTTTTGCACAGAACTCTATCTTCCCTAATTTTTTAAAAGTGGATACTCTTACAAGTCTGTGTGCCTCTATTATCTTAGGAGAGACCACTGATTTGTCATTTGGAAGGGCCTTCCTTAGAAGTTACTTCATTTCACTTCATAGAACCTGAAACCCAGGTTCTATGTGTTCAGGCCTATGTGTTCAGAAACTATTGTGTCTGATAAACATGCTACACCCTTGTATTTTGACCCTTCAGTGTTTTAGGTCTTGCACTACCTCACTGTATTAGTTATTTGTAAACTCACCGTTTGCTATTTTAAAAATAACATAATGCTTTCCTCTTCTCTGAAAAAGAATTGGGAGAATATAAGCTTACCATTTTAAAGAATTATAAGTGTCCTAAGGTGAAAGAAGGGACTGGATATGGTAATTATTGAGAGGATACCATTTGTTTTCCTTTAGGGAGATCAGGGATACCATGTTGAGAATGCAGAGATAATATACAAGGAACTATCATTCACATTATGATATCTATGATTTAGTCCTTGATGTAGTTCTGGGAGCTTGTGATAAGCTCATTTCATATTCTTTGTCTAGAGACTGATAAAGGGACTAATCAGAGACAAATATGATATTTATTGAACTCTTACCATGTGTCAAGCCACTGTGGTTAGCTCTTTAAGTTCTGAGAGCCTCAAAAAAAAAAAATCACCATTGTCATTACCTGTACCATTTAATTATCCCAATAGCCTGAGCGGTTAGTATTATTTATCCCCATTTTACAGATAAGTAAGGGGCTAATATATTACCTTGCTCAAGCCAGGATTTAAATGAAAGCAGTCAATGCCAAGATGTATGCTCTTAACTATTGCACTGTATGTTTCCTAGTCTGAGAAATGACACGTAGTCAAAGGATTCTTTACTGTTTTTGCACTTAGTTTTAATATTTTATTTTTTTATATTTATATTTTTCATAGCCTTGTCTGTTTCTTAAATTTATGTATATGTCCTTAAAGAAGTACTGAAGACCCATCATGTTTTCATAAAATCTTTATTTTATTGAAGAAGGTTATTGGTAACTCATTCCTATATCTGGTAATCATACTTGTTATATATGGGACTTTTATGTTCCACTAAAGAACAGATTGGATAAATAGTAAAAGCTTCTAAGTATCAAATGATGACCTGAGCATAAGTAAAACCAGGAACCTTAACAAAGATCAAGTTCAGATTACTTCCTATGGAAGATAGAACCCATCTGATTTATTAGCAGCTCTCTAAGCTCATCTTCTACCAGGTGCAGATTACACTCCAGTGTAGATCTTTTCCTTCCCCCTTTCTGTCTTATGAGCTGTGCCTATGCCCATAAGTAAAATTATAATGTCACCTTCACGTGAAGCCATCCTCACCTTTTCAGAAGGATTAAATGGTTTCTTCTCTGTGTACTATGTACTGATGATATTGTAACATAATTATTGGTGTGCACATCTACCTCCTACCAGACTATGAAGTCCTGTCCGCAAGTATTAAATTCTGTCTTTCCTTAGCCTTGATGCCTGACTCACAATGGGTATTAATAAGTATTCAATAAATAGAGTATGCTGGTATGATAGAAATTTGAGATAGCTAATGATAAGCAATAGTTTTTCAGTTAACAGGTTTGGGGAGACTGTTCTTCAAGGTCCAGACCAAAATGCTACCTTCCTTTTTTTTTTGAGACAGGGTCTCATTGTATAGCTCAAGCTGGCCTTGAACTCTCAGTTCTCCTGCCTCAGTCTGCTGGATGCTAGAATTATAGGCAAGTGTCACCACTTCCAACTTACCTTTTCCTTAGAGTCTTTCTTAAATTTACCTGTCCTGTAGTTAAAATTTGCCCCTCCTCAGATTTTATTGGTTATTGATGTTTTTTTAGAGCACTTTCACTTCTTCTTTGTATTGTAGTTTTTACAGATCTGTCTTTCCCACCAAAACCTTCTCAGGGCTAGACCCGTGTTCTGTTTATGTTTGCCTCTCCCTTAGCATTTTAAAGGTAGTAGGTTTATAGTAAATATTTACTGGATTCAATTGAATGCAATAATAAATTTGTTCCCCTATAATGACCTGGATTTTTTTCTCCATGTAACACTTTTTTTTCTGGTTCAGATGAGGAAATATCTGATGAGGAAGGATCTGAAGATGGAGATTCAGAGGGCCTGGGCCTGGAGGAATCCGAGAATGATGACCTGAGTGCTACTGAAGATCAGGATGCTGATGATGGTGGAGAGAGCAGTCTGGCCTGGAGGAAGAAGAGCAGATGCCACTCTGCAGAGATGCCAGGCTTCAGTTTCCAGGGCATCAGTGACTTTGAGAAATTTACTGAGGGAATGGATGACCTTGGGAGTAGTGAGGAAGATGAAGAGGAAGAGAGTGGCATGGAAGAAGGGGATGTTGAGGAAGGCTTGGCGGGTGAGAATGAGGAAGACAGGGCCAGAGATAGGAACAGTGAAGATGATGGTGTGGTGATGACATTCTCCAGTGTCAAAATTTCTGAGGAAGTGGAGAAAGGAAGAGCTGTGAAGAACCAGATAGGTTTGTATGTAGTCTTACTGGTTGTTTGTTTTTCAAAGTATCTGCATTTGCTCTACTTTTTGTTTGTTTGTTGTTTGTTTTTGGCTGTTCTCTCTCTGGTATCCTTCCAGTTAGTTTGTGATGTGCCTTTCTTGTCTAGAGGCCTAAAGCCCCATTCCTCTCTGCTTAGCCAGCCATTTCTCTGCTGAGCTGCTTAGCTGGTTCTGCTTTAGTACTTGTGGCAACTGCAGAAGATTGAGGAGGAGAGCATGTTCTCCTTTTTTTGGGCTTTAGCGTTCCTTCTCTCATATAGCAAATATTTGCTTCTAAGATACGGAAATTATTTCCTAGAATAGAGAGTTTTTATTTGGGATGAAACTGATAAAGCTGTGCTGATTGGAGACTGGTATTATTTCTTGTCCCTCCCCTGTCCCCATCCCAAGAAGATTTTATAACTCAAGATAGGATTCTCTTTTCTTCTTTCTCAGCACTGTGGGACCAGCTCTTGGAAGGAAGGATCAAACTACAAAAAGCTCTTTTGACCAGCAATCAGCTGCCTCAACCAGATATTTTTCCTGTTTTCAAGGACAAAGGTGGCCCAGAATTTGTCAGCGCCCTAAAAAATAGTAAGAATACTTATGACATATTTGGATACTTAGAATCACTGAGGTACTTTGGGGTATACCAGAATTGATGTAAAGGAGGAAGAAATTTTGTTTTAGTGATATTATGGTATAGAATGTGGTTTCAACTCTTCTTTTAAAAATAGCAATATTTTAACCTATTTATATATGAAGACAACTTGATTGAAGTGGATTGTTGCTTGAGCCATGTGTTTTTCACTTCCTACTTGCTTTCGCTCCCTACACTCCCCTTGGCTTTCTGAGTTAGGAAAATCCACTGCTGTAGAATAGAAGGGAGAGGATGAATGATTAAACTCATTCATTTAAGTTGGTTGTATTACATAGTTAAAGGAAGCTTTCCTTTGGGAGTGTTTTAGAACAGCCTGCTAAGATGTTCTTATTCATATCTTCCCTTGGGTGCTTTATGGCACTGAAGGACTGGGGCACAGGGAGATTCGGGGTGAGTCCTCTGTAGCTGGAATCACTATTCTGTGTGTGCGTGTGTGTGTGTGTGTGTGTGTGTGTGTGTGGTAGTGGGGTTTGAACACTTTGAGCCACTCCACCAGCCCTTTTTTGTGATGGGTTTTTTTCAGATAGGATCTCTTGGAACTATTTGCTCAGGCTGGCTTCAAACCACGATTTTCCTGATCTCTGCCTCTTGAGTAGCTAGGATTAAAGGTGTGAGGTACTGGTGCCGGCTGGAATCACTATTAATTTGAATGTTGAGACTTAGTGTTTCCATTTGCTCTTTAAAACTTAAACCCTGGGTGGAAAGCACAGACCTGCAGGCATTAGCTACTTCGGAGGCTGAGGCAGGAGGATCCCTTGGGCCCAGGGATTAAGGTCAATCTGGGCAACATAGCAGGACAAAACAAAAAAATCTCTCATGTCGTGGAGTTAGATTTGGAAGGAAACTGAGGAAAACATCTAATTTGGCATTTACCTCTAGGTGGAACCACCTTAAGCCATTTAAGATACATATATAGGATTTCTAGGATAGAGAATTCTGTGAACCTTTTTTGTATGGGAAAATGCATGGTTTAATTAGGAATGACTTCCTAGGTTCCAACTTTAATTTTTGTGTCCTGATATACACTTGAAGTCTATTTCATGTGTGAAAAGTGGGCAATCCTTCCAGAAACCTTCCTCTATTTACTGTGAAAGTAGTTCTTTTATACCTCTTCTCCCAATTTTCCTTCCTTCCTTGCTTTCATTTTTTTTTTTTTGAATTTTGGAGCACTTCTGTGCTATTTTTAATGCTTTAGTACCCTAAATTCTGGAATGCCTTTGGGTGAGACCTAAATTGTTCTAGATTAAATATCATAAAGGTTTTATGGTAAGCCCTTTTCCATTTTGTTATGCATTCTTCTTGCTTAATCTTTTCTTTTTAAAAAATTCATTTTAAAATATATTTTTAGGATTAGCAAAAGGTATAATGGGACAGATTCTTATTCTTGGATAACTTTTTAGTTTCTTTAGTCATTTTAATGCTGTTTAACTTTTGTTTTAAACAGTTCTGATTTTTTTAATCTGTCTGTTTTGTACTTAGCCAATTGCCTCTTTGACTTATTGGTGAACTTCAGTTAATCTGACAAATGTCTATTAATCTGACAGGGTATATTGTGGTAGAGGAGGGAGAAGAAAGGAATGCTTGTTTGGTGTCACATATTCTGAGAGGAAAGGGTGCTGTCTAATAACCAGAGTTTCTGAGTGTCTGAAGGGTAGCTAATTTTTGTTTGTTACAACTTTCTGATGGCATTGTATATTTTCCTGTTGTAAACAGAATTTTCAGAACAATTTCTTGACTACTACATTCTTCTTAGTATTCTTATTTTTTATATGCTGCTATATAACTGGTGTGAAACACAGGCTGAATTTATACCAACACCAGAACAAACAGTAGAACTTGCTGTCTTTAATAAAATCTCTTTTCACTTTGCTTGTCATAGAGGGTAGTTAAAGTCAGACTGCCTGGGTTTGGATTTCATCTCAGCAATGGCTAGTTATGTGACATTGGGAAGGTACTTCACAGTAAAATGGGGAAAATATGGTTGTGAGGATTAAAGGACATAATCAATATAAAGCATAAATGTTAGGTACTAGTATTATCTTTTTCTGCTGAAAGGCAGTTGTCAATGTTCAGCTATGTGAGTGGTTGATACCACTGTAACTAACCATCATACTCACTGTCTTGGGGATGTTTTGTTTTTATTTTTTAAATTATTTATAAGTATTTAGATTCCTTATATAATTCAAATTAACTGTTTGTTCTGGAAGATGGGTAGTGTTATAGCCTACTGTAATACATATAATTCAGTTTTGACCTATTGTGAAACCATAGAAAGGTGAGTAGAGATTTCCTCATTGCCAAACTGAGTTCTTGCTTCCCTGAAGCATTTAGCCTTGAAATATTTCTGCATATACTATTTGGTTTTTCCTACCTTTCAGATCTCTTCTCAAGCTCCTCCTTGACCCTGTCAATGTAATTTGCATTACATTTAGAATCCTGTCTGTAGGTTGTGTTTTCTGAGTATGTTCTCTCCTTGCACTGACCCTAACTTTAGTCTTTAAAGCAGCAGACTCCAGCTACATTCTAGCACAGTGAACTCCTGAATGCCAAGTCTTTGTACTTTCAGAACTTTTCAGAAACTAAACAAATACCTCCTTGCTTCTCCCCACTCCTCAACACATGCACTTACCTAGTCACCTTGCTGTTACATATTGGTAATTAGATCTCTTCAACCATGACATGATTTCAAATACATTCTTTGGTATTTTAGTGGGTGCATAAGTGGTAAGCCACAGAGTAACCTTAACAGAATTAAGGGGCTTTTTTTGCACACACAACTACTTCTCAAGGGATTAGCTTTTTCCCTCTGACTTTACCAAGTTATGTAGTTATGAGGTAGCATTTTATGTTGGTGACAATGATAGGTAAGGAAGAAGTCAGGTTACTTAAGGAAATCTCTTCATGAATTATTTCAAACTTTTTTTTTTTTTTTTTTTTTTGGTATTGAGGCTTGAACTCCAGGCCTACACCTTGAGTCACTCCACCAGCCCTTTTTTTGTGAAGGGTTTTTTCGAGATAGGGTCTTAAGATCTTTTTGCCTGGGCAGGATTTGAGCCGTGATCCTCCTAATCTCTGCCTTCTGAGTAGCTAGGATTATAGGTGTGAGCCACTGGTGCGGGACTACAAACTTTTTATTATGGACTATATCAAACCTAGCTCACACCTGTAATCCTAGCTACTTGGGAGACTGAGATAGGGAGGATTGTGGTTCAAGACCAGTTCAGGCAAGTAAATGGTTTGTGAGATCCCCATCTCAAAAATAATGGACTGGAGCAAAATGGACTGGAGGTGTGGCTCAAGTCATAGAGCATCTGATTTGCAAGTGTGAAATCCTGAGTTCAAACCCCAGTCCCACCAAAAAAAAAAAAATAGACCATAGCACATTGCACTCCTATACACTGTCACCAGCTTAAGCAACGGAACCATGTGAATGATCATCTTATTTCTCTATCCTTATGCTAGCCTTCCCCTCCCTTTTTGGATTATTTTGAAGGGAATAACTTCTCCATTTATCAGTAAAATCTTTCAGCATGAATGTCTAAAAAATAAGGATTTTAAAAAAGGTTTTTTTGGCTGTTCTGGAGTTATTTTTCAAATAGTTATTTTTTGAATAGTTTATGCCTGGGCTGTCCTGGACTTCAGGCCTCCTATTTGGGCTTCCCGGGTAGCTGGGATGACAGGTATGTGTCACTGTGCTCACCTTTTATTGATTGAGATGGGGTTGCTGGAACTTTTTTTGCCTGGACTGGCCTCAAACTGAGATCCTCCCTATCTCCGCTTACTGGGTAGGTAGGATTATAGGCATGTGCCTGGCCTGTTTTAAAAAATCTTGATACCATTATTGCATATAAAAACAGCAGTAACTTTTTTTTTTGTGGTAGTGGAGTTTGAACTTAGGGTCTCATGTTTTTGAGACAGGCGCTCTGCCACTTGAACTGGTCCTAGCTGTAATTTTTATTTATTTATTTATTTTTAAAATTTATTTATTTTTGTTGTTGTTGTTTTATTATTCATATGTGCATACAAGGCTTGGGTCATTTCTCCCCCCTGCCCCCACCCCCTCCCTTACCACCCACTCCTCCCCCTCTCTCCCCCCCCACCCCCTCAATACCCAGCAGAAACTATTTTGCCCTTATCTCTAATTTTGTTGAAGAGAGAGTATAAGCAATAATAGGAAGGAACAAGGGTTTTTGCTGGTTGAGATAAGGATAGCTATACAGGGCATTGACTCACATTGATTTCCTGTGCATGTGTGTTACCTTCTAGGTTAATTCTTTTTGATCTAACCTTTTCTCTAGTTCCTGGTCCCCTTTTCCTATTGGCCTCAGTTGCTTTTAAGGTATCTGCTTTAGTTTCTCTGCATTAAGGGCAACAAATGCTAGCTAATTTTTTAGGTGTCTTACCTATCCTCACCCCTCCCTTGTGTGCTCTCCTAGCTGTAATTTTTTAACATCACTTGTGTGTATTTGTGGTGCTGGTGATGGAACACAGGGTCTTGCAAATGGTAGGAATACTCTACCACTAAACTACTAAGCTACACCCCTAGCCTAGCAGTTAATTTTTAATAAGCATGACCAACTTGAGTGGATGGGACAATTGAAAGCATTTCTGTAACAGGCACTTTCTATTGTCTTTTCCAGAGTTTGCTCTGGAAACTTGGTTTAAGCGAAGTGATTAAAGGAAACCTAAACTTCAGCCATAATAAGTTGACCTTTTAGTGAAATGCATGTTATTAATGTATTTAATGAGATGCATTACAAACTGCAGTGAGCACCATGTTTCATTACAAGTCTAAAATGCAGTATCATTAAAGACCTTTAATAGAAACAATGGTTGACATTTTGATATTTCCCATAAGCAAAACATCCAGGAACACAGTATAATTTAACATAAATGTAGAAGAAGTGTTAAAATTTTTACTTGCCTAAGAGTT